GGGAAAGAGAAATCACCCCCACGAGATAAAGGCCTGAATCTCTTCTCCATTCTTTGGGCACACACACATGCACCTGGCATGATTTTCAAGCCATGAGGTCCGGGACTCAAATCATGGTCAGCCATGTTAGAGTCCAGCGCCTTAACCACTACCCATGCTGGCCCCAAAGTGATTCGAAATTGGGTTTGTGTAAATGTTGATGTTATTGAGAAAAGACAGCACTTTTATTTCGTCACATCTTTTATAAATTATAAAGAAAATTATTGGCTCATTGGGAAAGTCATGATGCATTTTTGCATAGAAAAGCATGTAAAAATACGTCATGACTTTCCAAGGACCTAATAGATGGATAGTGCTAGGGTGTTTTGTTTCGTTTTTCTAAACAATTTATACAATGAAATTATTCTGGTTTCATATTTACAGCATTACAATTAGTTTGATTTACCTACTGTTTACAAACAAAAGCTAAAATGCTGTTTTATATATAAGCATCTTTAATTTTGTAACCATTTATTGAAACAAAACATGTGAGGTTGAATACTTACAACCCTAATTGACCTGTCACTTAGGGAACAGCAACATTGTAGAGTGTTATACCTAATGGTAGAGTCTTATGCTCAAATATATAAACCATTAAGCAGGCGCCAGCAGGTGGCATGGAGGGCAGGTGGATCCCCCATGGCCAACTACACAGAGTCCCCAGCCTAGCGGCTTGAGAAACACTCCCAGTGCATATACATGCATGCCCAAAATCCCAGAAGAAGAAGAGATTGCAGCATGGCCCTCCCCACTGGGAAGTGTTTTCTCACTTTTCCTCTCTTGTCTGTCTCCAGCAAGTGTATACACCCTATAGAAAAAAATTTTTTAATTATAAATCTTAAAAATAAACCATGAAGTACAGCAATCAGATGTCTACAGTAAAGAAACATACTTTATATTGAGTTATTGAAAAAGTCATAATGTATTTTTTATGTAAAAATGCATTCTATTTTACTAATGACCCCATAGTAGATATAGATTATTTGGTACATTATGCTCCAGAAAACAAACAGTTCTGCTGAAGTAACCCCAGGGAAGGCTATCATGGAAAAGAGAAAGGTGAACTTTGATACCAGTCTATGCTGTCAGTTGCTAAGGAAATAGTGTTTTCTGCTCCTAGGCCTTACTGGTTTTATTTTTTCGTTTTTAGAAAACAAATTAAGTGAAGCTTCTGGAGGCAGGGCTGAAAATGGTGAAAGAAGTGATTTGGAAGATGACACCGAAGGGGAGGGACGGGAAAATGGAGTCATTGATGCTGTTCCTGTTGATGAAAATCTTTTTACTGGGGAAGATTTGGATGAACTAGAAGAAGAATTAAACACACTTGATTTAGAAGAATGACACCAGATAAGCCAGTGAAAAAATAAGTCAGCTCAGCATGAGTTGAAATTGACTACATTAAGTTTTTCCACCTAGAATCAGCAGGATGCTTATTTCTCATGCTGACTCTGGAGGGCTTAGCCTCCTCCAAGAAAAGGAACATTCTCTCTACATCTTCTCTTCTGACTTTGACTACATCTCATAGTAAGTTCAGCGTAGTTCATGATAAATTGAGAATATAATGGTCATTGCAGAAAATGATTGATCGTTGTAACTGTCCACACAAGTAGGAAGTTTAACTGCTTTTCCAGCTTTTGGTTTTCATTGGGCATGTGTTATTACAAGGAACAACATAAATTTACATTTAAAAATACCCTTCATTTGATGCAGTTTTTAAATGAATGATTTCATTTTCTTTGTATTTATATGTTTAAAAGATTGCCTGAAACATGAACACTGTACTTCATAAAGCAAACTTGATGTGCAGATTCAGTATTGTATATGTTTGGACAATTTGATGGACATTTAAAATGGAACTTCTTTATTCTGACAAGATCAGCAATGATGCCCTGTGTTAAACTGTTTAAAAGTTTTCCCTCTTTTTTTGCCAATAAAATTGTAAATAAAGACCATCATACAATAAAGTCTATAAATATGGGCCTTTTTATTCTGAGTTTTTAATGAAATTTTTCTTGGCACTTTTGCCATGAGGATTTTCAATACTTGTTATCACATAAGATAACAAGTTCTCTTAATACTATTACAGAACCAGGTAATAGTATTAAGTACTATGATGAGTACTTCAATGACACTACTACTGTGAGTTCCATGACATATTTCTTAGCTTCACAAGGTGATTGTAGATAATGTTAATATGGAAGGATAATTCCTGAATTGATAGCTCTTCAACTTAATTATCACCTACAATTGAACCATGCTACTTAAGAATCATTGTTGATATCCATGGTATTAAAGTAGCATATACTAAAGTTTCATTATTTTGTTTGGATGAGTATAAAGTTTTCCAGAAAACTTTGGGCTGAGGATCTTTGGCACTGAGATCTCCTGAAAAATTAATGTCACATTTAGAATGGACACGATTTGTTAATGCCTTTTGTAAGACTAGGTACATCTTTTTTATCATCATTAAATGTATTTTCACATGATACAGTACTGCTTTTGTTACTTGTAAGTGAATTTTAAGGCAACTTAGATAACAGCACTAAAACATCCATTCACCTGGGCCCTGATCTGATTTCTGCCTCAGATAAATTGTATGATTTTTTAATCTCTGAATTTTTGTTTCTTTATTGGCATGTATTGGTTAAGACTAAATGATTCCTAAAGTGTTCTGAATTATAAACTGTGAGAAGACAAGATAGTGAATTTTGTCAAGTGATGTCAAAGTTGATGTAAAGACTGCTTGAATTTTAAAGTTTATGCCCATGCAAGATTTGTTGTTTGTGTGTGTGTGTGTGTGTGTGTGTGTGTGTGTGTGTGTGTGTGTGAGAAAAAGTTTAAAAACTACAATTATGCTTTCAAAACTATGTTTCAGAGGCCAGTAGAAATAATTTTTGTATTGTTAACTGTATAGCTACTCTGTAATAGTAGTTAATGTGAAATTAGCTCTACTTTTACAAATTCATCATATATAACCTTAATTTTAAAGTTTATTTTTCCAAGTTACTCTTTTAAATTATTCCCACTGTTAACATAGGAAATCCCTTCAATCTAATTTTGATTATGTAATTTAGCTTCATTTTAAAAGGACCACTGTGGTTCAGATCCCAGCCTGGAGGCTTGAAAAACACACTGGGCACGTGTGTGCGTGCCCCAAAATCCCAACAGGATGGAGAAATGGAGAAGGGATTGCAGCATGACCACATCCTACTGGAGATTGCTCACTCACTCACTTTCTCTGTTTCTCTATCTCTTGTTGAGCACATACCCCCTTTGGCAGCTTAAAAGAAAAAATAAGAGGTGTATTGTGTAGAAATTCAGACGCTTACATTGTGTTTTACATATAAGAACAACTGTGACTTTACTCTAATTTCTTTGTATTCTATAAAATGAGATAATTTTCCCAAATATATGTTTCATTTTCTCCTTTAAAACTACTGAGTTTTATCCTAAACTCAGTAACTCTTATAGCCTACAATGATCTCATGTTTGCTACAATGTTTCTATTTTAAAGTAGTCATAATGTTAACTTTGCAACTTTGCACAGATAGTTTAACAGATAATGTAAACTATATACATGTACATGGACTGATGTAAATTATATAATCGTACAGTATGTTTTTATTATGGTAATAGACCTCATGATGACTTTTCTGTCAATGACAGGTTACATATACAGTGGTAGTCCTATGAGATTATAATAAGCAGTCCTGTAGACTCGATATTTAGTAGGCTATATCATCTAGATTTGTGAGAGTGCATTCTATCATGTTTACACAACAAAATCTTCTGAAAACACATTTCTCAGCACATATCCCCATCATTAAATGACTCATGACTATATTTGAATTAGTCAACTATGGCCTTAAGTGGTTTAGAATGTGATGGTAATGAAACTACAGGATTAAAGATGTAGATGTAGCAGATTGTTCAGGAAGCATCATATCCACCCTCAGATTCTAATGCAGAGTGGACAAAGGGAGTTTGTGACCAGTTAGAGGTATTATTTTACAAGTTCTATTCCTATTGAGCATTGTGAGTTTTGTTTAGAGAACTTCCAGAATCACAGACTACAGATCCCTCACTCCCTCTGCTTAAGTACAGGACTGTGACTCTGATACATGTACTAGTACATTAATGTTTCCAGGTACTTAGCACATTGTTCATATCGTGAATTCAGTTGTATATTGCAATGGATGAATTTCAGGAAATACAGGATAAGAGGATGGACTACCAAAATCTTGTTTTGGTTTTTTAACCTTTTTTCTAATGTATGTCCTACTAATGATAGCAATGTCTTCTGCATAAAGATAACACCTTGTTTCTCATTTGGAAGAAATTACTCGTACTGAAATCTAATTATAGAACTTAGCAGCATCTTCAGAATTTTATATTTTTTTGAAACAAATTTGAATCAAACATTAGTACAAAATGAATTTTCATTATTTCTTTTTTCTCATGTATGTTTTCTATTTCATTGTTAATTGTTGATGTAAAAGAAAAAGTTATTAGTATTTGCTTAGTAGATTTTCTTGTTTCAGAAATAAGCATTTTTGTTTGTGGACTTTATAGCATGAACTATTCATATATTTTATGATATAGTATCTGCCTACTTTGAGTATACATTTTAGAAGGGGAAAAATCAAACTGTTGAAGGCAGAGCAGTAAGTGCCTAACCATTCAAAGGGATGCCTTATTAAACTTTTCATTTATTTTGCATTTAGCTATCACTGAGTATGTTTTCTTGTAATAAAAGTGTTCTTTGTAAAAATATTTATGGACATTTTACCGGTAAAGACAGTTATTTTGCACTTGGTCTCTAGACACATACATTTCTGTGACAGCTGATCTGGTTTTCAAACAGATGTGTGTGGAGTTAACTGGTCCTTATGATATCCAGGGCTTAGTTTCCTTTATCATAGTTCCTAGTTAGCCTTCTTCCGTAATTCAGAAGATAATGACTACTTGCTGCCACTTTTTTGCCAGTTAACCTCTAGGGTTTATCAGTGTCTACAAAGGACTGTACATCACTTTAATTTCACCTGTAAGTCCTTTAAAATGTATTTTTCTTGAGTCCTAGTAAACTGTGTATATTACTGACAAAGGTTATCTTTGTCAATGGTCAAAAAGTATGATGACTTTTTACTACTGTATATTAAGAATTTTGTTATGTAACCATATTTAATTGGAGTAATCTTGTTTAAAATTTTATAGCATGTATAGAAATGTAGTATCAAAGAATGTATAATTGAAAGTATTTAACTGAAACTTCCTGTTAGAAATATGGTGTATAATACAGTAATTATGTGAATTGCATCTTGATTGTACATTGTATATATTGTACATATTTCATTTAAAATTAAAGATGTTTGCTGTGGGGGAAGTAGGATTTACTACAATACAAAAGTCCATCCTTGCATTTTTACGAAGTGCTAAATAGGCAGTGAAAATAAGAATTTCATTAACTAAGTCCTTTAGGAAAATTATTTTTGTGGGTTAGAATTTGACTGAGAAGCCAGTTTATTTGTAGAGATATGTTGTCTGTCATTTGTATACAAGCTAATTAAGTAACCACATTGGCAGTTCACTCCATGGGCCAATTTTTTGTAATATACAGTATTAAGGATTATTAGAGATTATTAGATATTAGATTATTAGATGTGACTACACATCATAGGAAGAAGGGTAAAAGCTAAACCAATACTTTTTAAAAATTGTATTTTTAACTGAGAAATAATTTGGTATATTTATGGTTAATTTCTTTGTACATTCCAGACCTCTAGACCTTGTTTCCCACTCCCCCGATGGGGAGAAAAATTAATCACGTGAGATTCCTGTTTATCTTGAAGAAAAAACGCTAAGAAGAATTATATAATCTACTTTGAGCTGTGACCATTTTTTAATTATGTAATTGGTCTTTTTTATATTTTTCCCCAGAGAGGTTTTACTGAAAGGGCAAAGCCTCAGCTCTTTAAAATGGAGCCTGCAAGAACCCCTATATACAGAATAAATGCCTGATGTGCAGGAGACCCCCGCCATCTATACTTTGACACCCACCCCAGCACTATTCTCTCTCAGGAAGGTTTTTTTGAGAGCAAAGAATTCTTTTTAATTGTTCCAATATTTTATTTAAATATTTTTGTATATTTAATTAATAATAGGTCTAACAACTAAGATCATTTAGTTGGTAGGTTTATTACACAGGTGGTTTCTGATTGATAACATCTATCTATAAGAAAAATCTATATAAAGGATAAAAGCTGATACCCATTTAAAGAAAAGAGAAAGCACTATTAGAAGTGAGAAAAGTATTAACACAGCTAAATTGTCTGAGAAGATGAGAAAAAATGAGGTGCCAGCTCAAAACATGTAGAAAGCTAAGAGCATTCGCAGGGACAGCAGTCCTATACCATGCTAATAATCAGATGCAGGTACATAGATAACCAAGTGCAGGACAAAAATAACATCATCTAAACATGAACAGCAGGGATAAGTGAAAGTGGTTTAGAATCAGTTCTCTGGATAACCCATCTGCACAAAATCAAAATTTCATCTGGGCAAAAATATAAATGTACTTTTTGCCCTTTACATGTGAGTGTTGTGCACATAAAAAGAGAAGAAAGAATTCTACTTTAAAGAAAGTTCTGAACCTGGATATGACAAAATCTAACTTGATTAGCATTGAAGAAGTGTTGAATTCTATTTAAATTCTGTTTCAGTGTATTAATGTAAAAAATGCTTTAAAAAGATAGCACAGTTCCCTTCCATATAAAAGAATTCAGCGTCCTCCATATTTCACATTTGGAGAGTCACTCACCAGAGACATATGGCAATTAATTCCAATTAACATAATCTCTGCCAAGGGATATACTACAATACATTCTCAAAACTGAAAAAGCCATGTGTGCCTTGGCCAGATGTCTCTGCTTTCCCCTCCCTCAGTTTGATTATATAATTGCAGTTATTCAAAGAAATGTG